TATATATAGATTAATTATAAAAATGTAGATCACAGTAAATTTCAAGTAATTTGAAAAATAAAAAATCACTGGTTTAGCACTGATTTAAAAAAAAATTATAGACTGAGAGCATGAGCTCCTTCTGATGGAGTAGTTGGAGATCCATGATATTTTTTCTGTAAGGAAACAGAAAAGTATTAATATCATGGCCTGAATTCCTGTTAACTTAATTCATAGACAATATCATGGAAAATACAAGTGCAGGTACTGAGTTACAAATTCTGAAGAAATAATCATTCATCTTTTGGATGAATTGTCATACACAGATGCACAGAGTATGTTAAACTTGTAAAAACCTGAATGTGTTTGACTGCTCTCTCCGTGGCATGAGCCTGAAGCAAAGTAACTGTGCATCCACCGAACCCTCCCCCTGTCATCCGACTCCCGAACACTCCATCCACTTCCAGTGCTGCCGCCACCAGCTCATCCAATTCTGGACAGCTGACCTCGTAATTATCCCTAAGACAAACAATATTAACCCCAGGCAAAGAATGCATAATTAAAAGTCATTTAACTGACAGTTAACCCCACCTATTCAATAAATGGGTTAAGCAAACAACATTTCAGACACTGAAAAGCACTTCTAATCCTGGAATGTTTAAAAGGAGTTGACCTCTGTACGTCTTCCAACATGATAATCTTGCTTCGATTATAGATGTTTACCTAAGAGAATTGTGGCTCTCCACCATCAGCCTCCCAAACTCTTTGTAATCCCCTCTCTTCAGTGCCTCAGCAGCTTGCGCTGTGCGTTCATTCTTCTCGATCACATGACGTGCCCGGTGGTATGTCACACCATCCAATCGATCCTTAGCAGCTATGAATAAATTTAGATTTTTGCAAAATATGTGTATTTTATAATGAAATGACCTCGATTAAAGACTTATATTATGGTATCTGCTTAAAATATATATTTTCTTCTTACCCTCCAAATCTTGCAAAGTAGCCTCTCTTAGACTTTTCTTGCCCAAAATGGCTGCTGCCTCCTCACATTGTTTTCGTCTGGTGGGATACTCGCTTCCTGTGAGCGAATGTCTAACGTTGGAATTAGTGATCAGGATTACAAGTCCAGGGTCAGCCAAAGGGACAGCAGTGGCCTCCAAAGATCTAGAAAGATTACATTTAATTTTATTAAAGGGATATTCCACCCCAAAATGAAAATTGTCATTAATCACTTTCCCCCATGTCGTTCCAAACCCGTAAAAG